GGTCTCGTCTCATTAAAGTTTTTTTTTCTGTTTGATTGAGTGCGAACTTAAACCAATTTACTTTTGTTATTTTCTTTGTCGTTGTACTTAACATATATAATACACTAGTGCTAAAGAAAATTTAATTCACCACATAAACCCTGGTTGTTGTTGAAAGAAGATTGAATAATGATTAGATCCAATAAAATTTTCCACGAATATTAATATAGAGAAATATTTTTATGTGAAAATAATTCAATGTTGAATATTTTAAAATAACAAAATGTATTTTGCATAAAACATTGTATTATGAATTAGTTGGATTGGAATAGTTAGACTGTTATGGATATTAGTTTGGAAGTTACTAAGCATGATCACATTTGTGGAAAGTTGGGTTGGAACAAAGTATATATATTATTCTAATTACATCTCGAAATTAACTATGAAGTAGTGTGAATGCCACTGCAAATGAAACAATTCGAAAATAATACGTGGATTCGAATATCAGTAAGGTAAGGCGTTCAAGCATTAAGCAGGCTTAGGGAGGGGGGGGGGGGCAGCGGTGTTAATTTTTTCTAACTTTTGCTGGCAAAGAGAGCGGTACCGAATTTATTTTTATATTTCTTACCAAAACTAAATAAATGAGTTTTCAACGAATTGTTTTTTTTTTCCGAAACGAATTGTTTTTTGTATTCAACCCCGGTGGAGGCGACCCATTAGTGCTTCAGCGTGGCTCTACCACGTGAAAAATCATCATATGATTGAAATTCTAGTTGGAGTTCCGACTAGGGTATAAACCTAATAGATATTTAGCAACTATGGCAACACTTACAAATTTATTTTTTGATTTGAAGTAAAATAATGCAGGAACTCTATACATGGCTTAAAAATTTAAACTGCAGCAGAGTCAGTTTTCCCACGAGGATTTCGTTTTCAGACATTTACACATATATAAAGGGTAGGTATGCGAGTGTTTTCTGCAGTGTATTTTGAAACAGAATGAAACGTTACACGTTAAAACTGAATACAAAGAGCACAATTATATGAATGAAAAAAAAAAAAATTCAGAGTTTTATTGTAAATTATCTCGGGTAAAAAATGAAGCGTCGGTAAAATATACGCACTTAAAATAATTTATGAGTATCCAAGAATGATTAAGAAAGAAAGCGGAATGAATTAGATCAGAATTGTAGTAAATTGAAGCCATTATCATTACCATTACAGTCCGCTGCTGAATATAGAGCTTTCCAAAAGATTGCCTCATAGGGCAGATTTTGATTTTTTTTTAATTTTAATTTTTTATAGGAAGACGTTGCTGCCCATTTACTGATTTGCCACATAAGTATTATACATTTTTCCTATCTGTCGCCTCTTACGACACGAACAGGGAGTTATAGGGTATACTGGGTAATTTTTTTTTCGTCGGGAAACATTAACATATGAAATTAAGTTAATTTGGATAGTTTTTAATTGATTTATTTATTTAGTTCAAATGTTTGGTTTTATTTTTTTTTACCGAAATTTTATTGTATTTATTGATAGTTCAATTTCATAAAATGTTATCCCATGAATCGAAAGAATATTGTTCCATACCCCCAATAGTTTAAAATGATCTATCCAATGACATACCACACGGGTATGGGAGGTTGGGAGGTACCCAAGATAAAAATGTTTCAAGATTTAGATTTTTGTTGTTTAACTACGGAACCCCAAAAAAAACATTATATATATATATATATATATATATATATATATATATATATATATATATATATATATATATATTATGATGGTATCATCTGGGATCTCACCTTGGTAATATGCAACATTAACATTATATTCTGAAAAAAAATTATTTGTTGTGTTTTTTTCAATAAAATTAAAAAAATTTAGACACCTGTTACACCAAATTTTTTGTCAGACGGTAAAAAAATCAGCCAGTATATATATATATATATATATATATATATATTTTTTTAAAAATACCGCTATGAATATTACCTACTAGTATATCTTCCAAAATAAGCTTGATTGCTTTAACAAAGTGGTAGTAATCGAAACGCTCATTCGCCCACGACCTTAATATTCTACTCTAAAACAACTTAAGATGGAAATTTTTACCTACTTAGATTATCAAACTGTGTTTTGTATTTCCCTGACATTGCAGGATATTTAATTATAAGAAAATTAAAATATTAAAAGAAAATGCGTATCCCTCCAATAGTATGCCTGCGTTTAATAAAATTCCCTTCCAGAAAAGAGTAACATTAAATAACAGTAGTTATCATTGCCCCGAGTTATTTTCTATTTTGTACTTGGATAACCGTCTTCGAGTAAAAATAGCTGCAATTTATATTAGACATTATAGTTGATTTATTTTGTTTGGGCATTATTTTAGACACAAATTAAATGTTGTTTAAATAGTATAAAGTAATTCTTATTTATATTATTTTTAAAATTCTGAGGAAAGTGTATCTAGATTAACAACTTTTTAATAAAATGATTTTTTTTCAAATTCTCGTACATCTAATTTCATCCTACCTCACCTTTATACCACGGCATCATTTGAGTACAGGGAATGCTAGGGAGTTCTCGATACACGTACGTTACCCAGACCAACAGCAGGCAGTGTTAAGTTCAGGCATTTAAATTCTCGCTACCCCATGTCATTCTCTGAGTATTGTAAGTGGCGGCAGACGGGAATTTCACAGGAGATAAAAAATTAAAAACTACGGTTGCCAACCCGGCTGCCAAGCGAGGCAACTTTGACAAAAAACGACCTATATGGCAATCTACGACAGATGCCTATGTTCATCGGTGGACGTTTCATAGACTAAAATGATAATGATGATGACCTTATTTCTTACTTTAAAAGGAAATTGTTTATATTATTCTACTCATGTTCTGCTATTAGGCTCCCCCATAAATTACATTATAAGTATATATATGTTGCTTTCATAGAGAAACACGGGCCATAGGCGGATTGAAGGGGAGTGTCGCTCTGTTAAACTATAGGTCCACGTGGTCCTATGCGTACAATAAAACTAGTTCCAGCCGCACTGTTCACTAGAATAAATCTATATGCGCGGATGAATCTAATCAATCAAACCAAATCAAAGTTTTACAAAAATACCGAATTGTTCAGTTTTGTGCTGCAAAAAGAGATCTGCCACGTGAGTTTTATAAAAAAGATGGTGTTACCTTTTATAAACTTAAAAACTACATGAATAACAGTCGTGTTATTTAGATTTCTTTACAAACACAGACCGCTCGCCCTTCATATCGGTCGAGCGACTGATACGAGTCTGTATCCGAGTTGTCGCTGTCACCGAGCGATACTGTTATAATGTATTTATGTGTGTGTGGAAATTCTATTTTTTGTTTTAATTGTTATGTATGAGTTTTGTAATGACAGACGATTGTTTTTGTGTGCGTAGATTTCCCCCCGCAAAAAATGACAGACAGTTCTGTGTCGGGGAAAAATGCTATGACCACTCCCCTCCGTTACGTTCGCGTTGCCCATTCTTTCTTTAAAGATTGAATTTTACTGAATTTACCTAATTTTTTTATTCCCATCCACCCTTCTGAAATTGGTCAAACAGAATCCATTTCATATTTATATAATTCATCAGACTGTCTATTACATCATATAAAATAATGTTTGAAGAATATTGCCCTGTTATAAAACGGAGGATCGAACGAATACAAAAGAACAGAAAAAACACATTACTGTTCCCTTTTGCTTATTTTAGGAAGCATAACGCTAACAAGCAGAGAGTAAGATTGACTGTAATAAAACTACCATAGTACGAAATGCGTATAAAAATAACTACTAATAATAGAGATTGATACGTGGCGAAATTATAATAATGCCAATTTGTGTCGAGGCTTTGAGAAATGTGGGGCGACTTCTCCGTATCGCACCTTTCATCGTTAAGAAAGTTTGTGGATATTAAAGAAAACGCGGAAAATCATTCTTCATAGTTTAGGGCAAGCCCGATGCGGGAGATAAGAAATTTATCGATGGATGGGGCAGACGTTTACGGAATGAGAATTACCCGAAGGTTATTCCTTAGGTGATTGATTGATAGTGATATTCATTGAGTAGTTAAACATGGTTTTGAAAACTAAGCAATGTACACTGAATCAACTTAGTGCTGTATTTTAAAATGAAAATGTTATATAAAATTTTTATTTACTATTATTTTGGACCACGTTATGAAACAAATGTATATTATAAATTATAATGCATGAGCATTTCATTGAAAGTAAATACACTGTCAGAAACAGTACATTATTTACAAAACTACTAAAAACTAAACTATTATTAAAATTTAATGATAAACACAAATAAAATTAAATTGTGCTCTTTGCATAACTACATATCAATATATAATGGATATATGGAAGAAGAACATAAAAACTATTGTGAAATAATGTCGAGCATGCATAATGCATGATGCATTTCATTTAACCTACAATCCTATATGCTAGTTAAATGCCAATGATTATAAATCAAATTTAGCATACACGTCATAGCAAGCACAAAGTAATATACATATACGTATTATGAAAAAAAGGTTTTATATAAACAGACAAAGAATAAGAAAAACCCTTACTGCATGCTTTCTCATCAGAACCGTCAGAGCAGTCAGGATTGTCGTCGCACATCCAGGTGAGGGGCACGCATTCTCCATGTTTTCCTCTGCATGTAAATTCTTCGGGCCCGCACGCCTCCACTTCTGCCAACCCAAGTCATGCTCATGCTAAGTAGAATGCAAATGAATCTCTACACTAAACATTAAACGCAAAAATTCCGTCGCTGCATATTCTCTACCGTAGTAATTTATCCTGACGAAAGCGGATATTTAACAACTAATCTGAAAAGATTTAATACTTAAAACAGTCATATTTTTAACCGTCCATATTTCCTGTGTGTGTTATCTGTGTGTTTTTTTCTGAAATACCTAAATATGAGGATAAAAATTTAGATTAATACAAAGATTCAGTGAAGTCACTTTTTAACATGCTGCTATTCGTAGCATGTAGTGATTTTCCCCAATGATTTTAAACATGCCAATTGATTGATTTGAATCATGCCTAGGTTGCGTTTCTCCCCTGATCATGCCCTTACCACACTGATGTTCGTCGGAGCCGTCTGGACAATCAGCGGCATCGTCACAATGCCAAGCAGCGGGTATACAGTGACCACTTGTGCACACAAACTTGTGTTCCGGACAACTGCTGCGCTGTGACACTGTTTACGAAAGCTTTATTGATTTTTGATTTACTAATTTGTCTTATGTAGTCCTAAATTTACCTGATATCTAAATATATGATTAAAAAACACAAGAAATTATTCTATTATTTTTTTCATTGATGATACATTATTAATCAGTAATATTTTTACAAACAATGGGTACGAAATAATTATTTTCAATAGTGCCAGTCATTGGAACGTTAAAAATGTATTCGCGCCGCTTGTACACAAGTTGTTAACTGTTGGGGACAAGTTCAAATTAATGAATGTCTACGCTCAACACAGGCTGTGCTAAGACTAAAATGTAATTAATTGAACTAAATAGCCCTATTTCGAGCGTAATGTTGTTTTAAGTCGCATCTAATAAATTATATAAACTTGAGATGTTTCACTTGTACATTTTTAGTGCAGGAACATTAAAGTGTAAAACTTATTTTTACTCTTTCGTTCCAAACAAACGAGTATATAGTCTACCTGATGGTAGGTGCATGCAATGGCCCAGAGACAACTACATCGATTGTATTTTTTTTTAAAGAATAAGGGTGACAAACGAGCACACAGTCCACCTGACGGTAAGTGGATGCTGTTGCCCGTAGACATCTGACATTTATTTTTAATTATGAATCAAAATGTAGATGCGTTGTCACCCCTTGAGCTGAGATAGAATGCCTCGTTTCCAGTAAAAAGGGTATTCGGTTCTCTACACTCACCATATGAAACACAGCAGCATTAAGCTACTACTAAAATAATTGCAGCATGGCTCTACCACGTATAAAAATTAATTATTATAATTATTGATTAAGAATCAAAATGCTAATGCGCTGTCAATTGTCACCCCTGAGGACCAAGATGGAATGCCTCGTTACCAGTGAAAAACTAAAAAACTAGACGGTGCATACTCCGATTACAAGCCCATTAACGCTGGTGTTCCACAAGGTTGCGTGCTCTCACCAACGCTGTTTCTTCTGCATATCAATGATATGTTGCAAACCGGTAACATTCATTGCTATGCGAACGACAGCACTGATGGTGCTTTATACACAGGCCGTGCCAATATTTCTCGGGAAAACGTCGCCGAGAACCGAAATAAATATGCGTCTAATGTCGAGACTTTGTCGAACAAAGTCTCTGACTGGAGGCGACCAAATCTAGTCCAGTTCAATCCAAAAAGGCACAAATTTGCGCGTTTACCGCTAAAAAGAACTACATCGTAACTCTTCAGTTTCAAGGCACTCCCCTTGTTGCCTTAGCCAGTATCAGAATCCTCGGCGTCGACATATCCAGTGACATGCAGTTTCGAGGTCACTTGGAACAGAAGGCCATTATTTCATGCCAGCACACTGCATGCAACTTCACAAGGCGCAGGTTCGGCGACACATGGAATACCGTTCCCTTCTCTGGGCTTGGACTCCCCAGTGGCAGCTCCTTACATTTGATCTCATCCAGCGCAGAGCCATTTAAATCGTCGGCGAAAGAGTCCTTTCCGATCGGCTTGACTCACTGACACTGCGCAGGGAACATCTCTTTGCGTATTTTATCGCATTTACCACGGGGCGTGCTCTGAGGAATTGTTCAGAGTAATACCAGCCGCATAATTTAACCATCATACATCGCGACAAATCTCGCGATACCATCCATACCATCTAGATGACTGGCGGTCCACTACCATGAGATTTAAAAGAAGATTTCTTCCTCGCTCAACTTCCTTGTGGAATCGATGTGGGACCTTGAAGAAAAGAGCCTACTCCTTTTTAAAAGGTCGGCAATGCATCTGCGATTCTCCTAGTGTAGCAGTTGTTCATGGGCGGCGGTAGTCACCTAGCAACAGGTGAGTCGGTTTGCCTCCTTTTTCCTAGACTCACCATACAAAACACAGCAGCATTATACCTACTGCTGTTTCGCTCTAGCATTCGGTGAGAGCGTGGTCTTACCCCGGTCGAACCGACCCATTTTTGCTACAGTTATCTATGGCTGCAACGTAGCTCCTACATGTTAAATATTCATTCACTACCTTCATACACACCAATAAGTTCAATTAAATTTACAGACATTGGATTTTTCAAGTAGCGACACCTACCAATAATTACATAGACGATTCGCTCATATTCACGACGCTGGGCATGCGGAGTGGCAAGGCGATACGATACGACTATTTGGCCTATTAAAGTAGACAAACCTAGCGTATTGCGAACTACATGGAGTGACGATCTTGGTAGAACGGATAACTTGGTAAGTCGAATGCATGTAGCTCTGAACCCTGCTTTGTAGCAGTTTTTAAGGGAGGTGTGTAACCAGCATATACTTGCCATTGAATTAACATGAATACGACGATGGAGTCCCGAATGTAAGAACACTCTGAATAAACCCTTTTTTTTACACATCATGGTAAAGCGACGCTGAGTAGTCGGCTCTTTAGGGATAGGACCACGATCACACTAAATGCAGCACCATTGTGGTGCTATTTTAACATTAGTTTAAACAATACGGTGAGTGACCAGATCAGAGACTTTTTTTTACTGGACAATATACCCTAATCCTCAGAAGTCATAATAGCAACAACTTACCTACTAATTTTACCATCAGGTTGCTGAATATTTATTTGCAACTATTACTTCTATAAATAAGAAAAACAACCTTAAATTATACATTAATTTTATGTTTTTTTTTTATTTCTGTTGTGTCAGCTGAACTCCTACAAATGCGCGATATCAACATGAGTTTAATGTTATGTGGAGTCGCGTCACACTGGCAATAATTGTACAAAGTTGTGGGTTTCGCTTGGCACATTTACACAAGCCCAAGATTAAAACGTATAAACTTCTACATGTTTGTTAGCTTTGTTTGATCATAAAACTTGTCTAGAAAGAAAAACACTATATATAATGGATGTGGATGCACAAAGCATTATATATATATATATATATATATATATATATATATATATATATATATATATATATAATGCTTTGTGGCATTCCTTGAGGGAGATCTATGTTCAGCAGTGGACTTGTGAAGGGCTGTAATGTTGATGCTATAAGTAAATATTATATTATTTTCTCGTGTCGCTAATTAAAGCTTTTAGTACCTTTAACGTGAATACGCAAATAAAAGTTATAAAGGATGTTAAATTTATTTATTGTCAAGGGTATAAGTAACTCAATTTGCTATTTACTGTGATCGTTGAACCCAATGTTAAAAAGGTAATTTTTTACCAAATTCTTCTTGCCTTCAGTTCGCAAAAGTACCTATTCTCCATATTCACAAAAGAAGTCCGCTCTATTCTGATTAAAATTGCTTTCGTTTCATTTCGAATATAAAGTAATGTACATACTCCATTAGAATATGTAGGTGCATATATATATATATATATATATATATATATATATATATATATTTATATATATGTATATATTGTTGCGCGCCTAAGTTGACGTCAGGTACCTGGCACTAGCGCCATCTAGTGTCGGGGACCAGAGCGAGGAGGGTTTCCTAGAAAATGTCAATCTTGACTTTCGACCAACAGCGCCATCTAGTATCGAACAGAATAATTAAGCTTTCTAGAAGCCCCACACTCGATCTTACTGCGCCTGGTCGGTTGGCGCGCGTATTTACTTGAATATTCAGGATGTTTCGGTGAAAAAGGTGTATTTAAAGGCACTGCAAGACGCGATCGGGGCAGTATTGAATTTGGCGAGACAAGCGAATCTTCGGAGCGAAATAAAGTGAATCAGTGTGATTAATTATTAGTGTTTTAAGTTTTAATTTGTATTCGGTAATAATAGTTTAAATTTTGGTAATTCAATCGGCAGTTTTTATTGTCACGAACCTTAAGCTTGTAACATATACATATATATACATACATATATATACATATATATATATATATATATATATATATATATATATATATATATATATATATCATTACAGCCTTCAAGATTCTAGCTGGATGCCACAAAGCACGGTCATGAGCTTTATCGACATGATGTTACCAGGTGTACGGGGTCGCAATCCTCATATATATGCAGACATAATTTACCGGTTCGTCTCTTTTGAACAGAAAGTAATACTGGATGACCTCTTCAACGTTTGTTTCATTATATTACCCTCGCTGTGTGCTCCTTGATTAGTTTGAATCTATATGGTAAATTAACCATTAACACAAAGATTTTACATGAATGTGTAATACCTAAACTCGTGATACGCTACAATTTATTACTGAAATCGCTTTATTTGTATTTTAATTTACCATAAAATATTATTCGGTTGTGTAATTAAATGTTTTACCTATAAAAATAAAATTCCAGATTCGCAACTGAAATATGGTAGAAGAAAGGTTAAAGATTATAAAATTAATCCTTAAAACTTTGAACCGGAATTAAGATTTTAATCCGCGTCAGAAGCCAGCTAAAGACGAAGTACGCGTGCTACCTTAAAACTTCTCTCATAAATAAAATAATATTTTTGGAAAATAGATTAACCGAATAATACTTTGCACGTAATGTAAGAATATTTTTGTCACATAATATACAATACCATCTTTTTTTTGTTTACAACTGTATATTTGCACGTTACAATTTGTTACGTGTATATTAGCTGTAAGAAATATAATATGTTGTATAGATAATTAATTATAAGTTTTTAGAAAGAAATCTACAACAATTAACTTTACGCTAGACGGTAGGTGCATATTTGGTTTATATTGATCAAACAATACTTCTTATCAATAAATAAGACGAGAGCTCGTAGTTTATAGAAATAGAGAAAACAAAACTTTTTGCATTATAAGAGAAATAACGTAATAGATTCTAAACAAACTAAGATAATTAAGTCGTTAAATTATTCTTTAGTCTTGTTTCTTTCTTGTTTATATCTTTAAGCAAACACCCATTACTTACTGCATGTGCCAGGTTCTTCATCAGAGCCATCAGAACAGTCTTTTTCATTATCGCAGCGCCATGACATTGGAATACAACGTCCAGTCTTGCACCGAAACTCCGAAGATGTACACGTACGACTTTCTGTAAAAAAAAAAACAATATTTGTAAAATGAAATGTTATAACTACATAAATTAGATTCTAGTAAAGTGGCTTTTCGTGAGTGTATTGCAGTTTTCAATAACCAATGTTGACTTCATTTCATTTCTCTCCTGTGACTGAAAACTCGATAAAAGTTTCGTCATAATATTTCACGGAGACGTTTTTTCATCACAATCCGTCTCACTGCAATTTCTTAGATAAATTTCGTGGTGATGCGGGAATATAATCCTTAGTAAGTTAACCTTGCATGTGAAATTCCTTCGTAGGCTTGGCGCAGGATATTTTATCCGTGTTTTAATTTACGTGAAAGATGTCCCAAGGAGCACGTTCACGCTTTTAGGGGCCTTTAATCTTTAGTAACATACTCTTCCATGGAAGCTCGTACGTGTGTCTGCTATTATGTATGAAGTCAGGTAAATATGTATATAGGCCGCAGTAGGATCAAGATTCATTATGGAGTTATAGCCTTACTAAAATTGTATGAATATGCACGGTGAGGATATGCGTCTTATAGAGAGAGCAATATTCTCCTTTAATTTTTCTAAGGGTGTGTAAGGATGGCGATAAGTACTACTCAGCGCATGGTAGTATTATTGTCGTTGTAAATACTTTAGTGCTGTACTTGGTAATGCTATCGCCGTGTAGGGTTAGCGTAAGAGTATCCGCTTACCACACGTCGTCATGTGGGGTTCTTAAGAGGCGACAAATGGAAATGGGACATGTGGTAGGCAGCCCCGCCTGCTAATCGTGGCAACTATAACAAATTTCAAGCCTACTCTATGAGGCAAGCTATAGGGAATGCCTATGTTAAGTCATGTGGACTTTTCACACACTATAACGAATGAATGAATATCTACTAGAAAACTGTTTTTGTTATGTTAATTGATGCAATTCGTTTTTAAATTAGCCATACGTCCTGTATCTTTAAGATGATCCCTGTCGCAGGTCTTAGGAAGGGGGCTTTTACATCTGGCATGCGTGACAGCTGAGCTTCTTAAAGCTATGCAGCAGTGGTTTGTGGCAACTTTTGTTGTAAAGAAGAATAAAAATATCAATACATGTAGTAAATGTAGTAATGTGATAGCTCGCAGGGTTATTGGCGGCGCACAAGAATCCATTATGCCGTTTTGTCCAATGGGAGTCATAAAAGACAACTAATAAAAAGATCAGCAAGACCTTGAGGCCTCGGATAGATGGCGCCAACTCACCTTCAATCGCCAGTTCACGACAATTCATCAAGCCATCCAATCAGCTCTGATGGTGTCGTAAGAGGCAACTAAGAAAATGGTCAGAAAAACTATGAAAATGGCAGAAAGACCCCATGGCTTTCTACCATTTTTCGTAAAAAAACAGTAAAGTTACAGCCAATATCTGGTCCCACTGCTGGGCACAGTCCTCCCCTCATTTCTGAGAGGGTTTTAGGGCAAGGCTGAGAGCGTTTTAGGGCATTTTTCATAGTGACCTCCAAAAGATGATTCACAACGCCAATCCACCTTCCAAGCTTGACAAATACGGCAAATCATTCCCATGTTGGAAGTGGACTGAGTTTATTAGAAATAAAATAATCGTAGCCATTTAAAATAAATAATAAAAAGTAAAGTAAAGTAAAGTTATAGCCTCTACACGTCCCACTGCTGGGCACAGGCCTCCTCTCATTTCTGAGAGGGTTTTAGGGCAAGGAAATGTGCTCGGCGAACTTCACATGTTTTTGAAATATTTTTTTTCTTATGTCTCAGACATGCAGGTTTCCTCACGATGTTTTCCTTCACCGGCGAGCACGTGGTAAATCAGTACTTAAAATTGCAATTAACAATTTCATTGGTGTCGGCGGGGATCGAACCCGGTTTGCTCGCGTATTGCGAAATTTACAGCGAGCGCTAACCATCTGAGCTACCACGGCTCAAAATAAATAATAATCGGTCTTAATTTACACTCAATTGTTTTATTTGTTCTTTGCAACTTTGCCAGATCTTTTTAAAATTGTTTACTGCAATTTTAAGTGCTGATTTATAACTTTCTTAGCGATGAGCAAAATAGTGAAGGAACGTACAAACCAAAGAAGTTAAAAAATATTTATTTCGATGACACATTTTATATGCTATTACGTATTGAGACAGTGCCGCGGCCCCTTCCTAGAGCCTACTAGAAATTAGATGATGCTTGTTAACAGAAGTAAGATGCCTCTAGGCTGTAACTTTACTTTTAAATGAAACTAATTTTGCTTCCCTACTTTTAAACTTTTAAATAACTTTTAAATGAAACTAATTTTACTTTTTAAATTCCCGACGTTTTTACTTTTACTTGTTATATCTTCTGTATAGAAAATATAAATTTCTTACCAACAACTTTGTACGTATTTTCATTAAGCAGTATAACAGTTCTGCGCAGTAAAATAGTTAAAAAGAAATAAAGGTTCCATTTGCCCAGCTTTATTAGCACATTACCCGCATACTTTATAAGGCATCGTGTCTTAGTGGTCAAGTAAGACAAAGCTTCACATTAAGAACCTACATGAAGTTGTCCCTTATTAACTGATCCTACAAAGTTTGAGAAAGTAGATCATTAGACAAAGTTTCACTAAAAAAAAACAACTATTATTTTAAAAAATTAGGAAAATGTCTATCCCTTAACGTTTGACTTTGAGGCTGTCAGAGTAGACATTTTTGTCGAATGATTTTCGATTTTCTAGCATGGCCATTACATAACACGGGCCACCGGCGCAGCGGACCTGAGCAATGTAAAAAATAATTAAATACTATTGAAATAAATTAATATTTAACAAAGCCCATTATAGCATTAAAATTGCTATAAATTCTTCAAAATGAAGTCTCGAGAAATTTTGAAAATAATTATCAGCAGAGATAGCTCGTGGGGACTCAAACTGGGCCGAGTCACGCACAAACGAGCAATTCGTAAACAAAACGTACATCCTCCGAATAATATCGCGCTGAAGCCCCCGAAGAAGGCTCGCAGCCCTTATACCGCAACCATCGCAATAAATTCGAGTGAAGCTTCGAAGATTGCCGTATCGTATGCCAAGGGGTATTGTTATTCCGCCTGTTCGATAAAAAGACTTCATAAATATCTACTCCGTATCAATTTTCGTAGCTCACACTTATTTGTTTTGATCGAATTGCGCAATTTCTAGGCAATTTAAGGGAAACAAATCCTCAGCGCTTGTTTAATTCGTGGTTTTTTTCCACGGAAACGCCGTAGAAGTGTTTTGAGCTGCGGCTTAGTTCCGAACTCGGCTTTCCTATATGCAAGTAGGTTTTCCCGCAAAATAAATATTTGTTATTTCAGTCGCTTTTTGCTCAAAAAGAGTATTAAATTTAATAATAAGGGAAAATATTAATTGATGTTTTTAAAGTATTAATTTACTCTTTAAATACTAACGTAATAATAAATATCTATATATTACAGGAGATGTACAAAATTGGGTGCTTGACATCGGCACTTATACAAAAATAAGTAGGTAATAAAACCATAAATTATAAGCATAATTAAATGGTTTTTATGCAGTACTTGGGATAATCATAAAAACATTTTTAAACTGAAACACGAAAGCTAATGTTTTAACTATAACAGAAACAAAATGTTTTTTTTAAGATTTTGGGTTTAGGCTATGTCTTTATTCCATTCGGGATCTTCGTATTCATAGATTTTTTCTTCACAATATGCTGATGTGTCACATTGCGAAGTTTTTGTGAGATTTTGACGACAGCTTAACCCAGCGGATAGTCGATAACGACAGCCAGTCAAATTTATAATAAAAAATAAAGGCGAATTTATATCAACATCGAAGCACTTGTTTTGTCATTTTCTCTAATAGTTCACTGCGTAGAGCACCTAAGACACAAAATCGCGTCACTTTTACGTATCAAATCCACTTAAAACCATTATTTAAACGATAAAACAGGATAAACAATAGGTCGATGGTCAAGGTCCCGACAAAACCGCCACGTTTTTAAATATTTTTTCTGTGGCAATAGATAAGGAAAGCTATTTTTATAATAAAACAGCCTTCATTATCACAAAAAAATTATAATATTGAATCATTTAGGCGAATTGTAGAGATTAATATTGAGTAACATAAATATATTTAGAAAAACTATTGAATAAACTATATTTTTAAACTAAAAAACATTTGAATATCATCTGACACGACTGAATAGGCCGTATGGTCATTGATCATTGCCTATTCCGAATGTAACCCGTATTGGTAACTTCGAGTTTCAACTTGTCATGCGCATTTGGTACTGTCGCTGTGTTTGTGGATAGGTTTTGTGTTTTTACTTTTATGGATTTATTTAAGTTGACCCTTGGCTTTTCTCTCGGATTACAGGACAGCGGGTTCTTACGCCAACATAATAACAATAATGTTATACCTGAGTGATGAGAGTTAATGTACAGACTCAGGCTGCTTTTCTAGATGACATTTTATCATTTTATCATAAATTATAGAAAAAAATTAAACAATTTAAATAGGTTGAGTTTTATTTTACTTTATTTAATAATAACTACAAAACTGTATTATTTTGTGTTCTTTTTAATTTATTCAAACAACTTGTCACAAGAACGATTTATTTTACAACATAACCTACAAATCATAAAACTAAATAAAAACGAAACCCCAGGTCCTGCAAAATTATGATTTATTTTAATGATATACGTAGCAAATGTTTAAATCATCAAAATAAGACATATTTGTATTTTGTTCACGCCGCGAGCCCAAGCTTGTATATAATCAAGTCCACCCCTTAAACTTTTGTTTTCAAACATTAGATAATTAAGCACTCACCATAATATTTTTTCCAATAGATTGCCTCAGGGGATTTGGTCAAGGTTGGCCGCATAGGGCTTCCAGTTCCTACTATATATTCATATTCATTGGTTGGCAACCGCAGTTTAAATAATCGCCATTCGATTGCTAGAAGTGACTCACTGCCGTGAACACTTCTAGCACAATACGTTTTAATTT